GTTTAAACATTTGTTGTGAATTGCCCTACTTGTTCTTTTTTGTTATATCTTATTCATTAAGCCAAGTTTAAGCCAATTGTGGCTTGACTCATTGTGCTTTCTGCACTGAGTTGCTCAATGATCTCCTTGGTTTAAATGAAGTGATTGTGGAAGGTTACAGTCTTTACAGCTTTCCACAAGTATCTTTCTCAGTTTTTAGTGTTCACACCCATCAACTGGATGAGTGACCATATGCAACATACTACTCTAGATAATGTAACTAATTCTTAGTTTCAGAAAGCTAATAGTGGCTGTTTAATGGTTTTAATGTTTGTAAGCCACCCAGAGATGTCTCTCGATGAGATGGATGGCACATAAATAAATAAATAAATAATCAATAGTTCCAGAGCAAATATATTCCATATAGAGGAGGAAGAAAGGAGTAGATATACAGAGATATGAGAAATTCCCTGAGGATGGGCTCCAACTTCTGGTTCCGGTGACTGACCCAGATTAGTTCCTACAATAGATATATATGTTGCTGCTCTTCTGCTTGTCACTAATAAATACAGATATCCTGGTGAGAAGGAAAGATGGATAGTGGAAGGCCCTCATAAGGGTTTTCTTAGTTCTGAAGTACAGGATTTTCCTTTGAGAGTTATATACAATAAGCAGAATATGGTACTGTTTGTCTCCTATGCCCTGCAATTTGATTGAGATACAGTTAAACAGACAGTCCTTTGGAACATCTCAGCCATATAATTCTAAAGGAAAATTCTGTAAAAGAAACAAAATGAAATAATAGTGGGTTGGAAAGATGCACAAAAATAGAGAAAAGAAGAGTAGCATATTAAATCTAGTAAATGTGAAAAGGTACTGCAAAATATTTAAAAAAAATACTTAAAATATTTTTATGTTAGCATTCTCCTAATGTTAGCTTAGAAAATTAGGAAGCTTTGGGGGAAAAAAGATTATTGAACATACTACTTTTCTATTTTTTCTTACAACCTGATTGAGGCTGTCCCTGGCATGTAAAGAGTTCCTGAGTGATTAATTCTGGGTTACTTTGTTTTTTTTTTATGACATCTAATTGAGTGCTAGAATGTGTGAGTCATTTTTGTAAAGAGCTTTCTCAAGGACAAGTCAAGGGCTGAGAGGATGCTGATGTATAAAGGCAGTGGAGGTATTTAATAGGTTCAGCGTGAAAGAATTTTGCTTTGAAAACAAGAAGATTGATACAGGAACTGAAATGAGCTTTGTCTATTCTGCTTTCAAAGGTGTTTAGTCTGATATTGTCCACAGATTGGTTTAGAATGTACATTGTACTGGCTGTCATGGGGCTTCACCGGAGCTGTCAATCTGGTGAGATTTGTTACTAATGGCAGGCAATTTCTCTCACTCTGCCCCCTCCCCTCTCCCCCAAGGGTTCTCTGCCACCTTTTATGTTGTTCATGAATGTTTTCCAACCTTTTTGGAATAGATTTCCAAGAACCACTAGATGATAGGGAGAGGAATTGCCAAAAATTGCATTTTTCTGTACAAGTTACTTTCTAAATATTTTCTGGCAACTAAATAATAAAAAAAAATCTAATAAACTATAGAAATACTATAAATCTTATATGATTAATTCAGTATCCAAATTCAAGTTCCCATATCTTCTCTTGATTCTAAACAAGGTAATGCCCCACACATTGCAATGGTAAATACATATAGTGTGAAATGAATGCTATATTATATATGTGCAAGCAGACATCTTTAAGACACCTTGATATGTGGGTATGAGACATAGTGCTTCTTGCAGCTATTAGCAGAACTGGATAACTGAAGCATAGCATACCAGTCGTGAGATTTAATTAAAATATAGAGATACTATAAATTCCTTACAGTGGAGATTAAGTATGCAGTCCTGCACATTTATACATGTATTATATTTCTATTAAATATTGTCACAGTCTTGCGTGGTTCAGTGGTGCGCAAAAATTTCTCATTTATAGAGACTATAAAATTCAATCCAGTGGAAGGAGTAGTTTACAAAGCAATTTGTCTATGAATATAGACCTTCTTTTGGAATTACTGGGAGATAACTGATTGTGTACAATGTTCATCCTAGAGAAGGTCTATCTATGTAGTCATTAAAAGTTGACCTCAACATCACATAATAAAAAAGTGTGTTGATAAGATTGTCTAAATAATTCTAAAAGAATTATTTGTTTCCTTGTGGGGTGAAGCAAGCTCAGAAAACTGTACTGATTAAAAAAAAAAATTCTTCCATGACACTTTGTCAATAAATGAATAATGGTAGGTCAAGTTAAGAGCTTCCACTACTCCGTCCTTTCTTTTAGAGATATTAATGAACAGAATGCTTCATTACACCTCTTTTTTACATTTCATAAATATATATTTTTTCTTATTAAAACTCAATGGAAAGAGAATATTAAGACACATGAAAAAGAAAAAAGAAGAGAGGAGATAAATGAATAGTAAGGAATTTATCGAATATTGAACATAATGTATCAGAAAGGTGGAAAAAAACTACCAAGATGCAACCCACTCCTATGGCTTACTGTAATGTGGGTGGATCTCCAAAGAAAGATGACTGAGTTGGATAAATGATTATTTCTGCCTTGTGTTGACATATGTTCAAATAACAGGAAACAACATAATTTTAAACTTGTTTATTCAAACCTTAATTTCACTGTATTCAACTGAGCTTTCCCTTCAGTAAATACATTTAGAATTACACTAAAGCCAAGCCAGGCTTGGTGCCAGATCCTTTGATTTAAGTAGTTCTGGAATTATGACAACTAGATAATATTAACTAAAAGATTTATGAACTTGAAGAAATGATATTAGTATCAATAAACTGTGTCTTAACTACTCTTCAGTCAATCTTTATTGATGTCAGTTTTTGTTTTTACAAAACCAAAGGAGAAATTACTTCATTCTGTGGGAATTGTATATTCATAATGCAAAATAATGCTACCAATTATCATCTCTGTTTTGCTGTGTACTGACATTAAATTTCACATCTCTCCCAGATCATTTTTATTCATTATTTAATTATCTAGTTTGGTAATCTGAGACATTCCTTTGAGGTGGCTTACTTTGCCTTATTTTCTTGCACTCAAAGCAGCAGCCATCTATCATATTTAGTTTTTAAGAATGTTTTTAAGAAACATGGGGGGGGAAAGAATCATTGTATATGAAGATAGTTCCAGAGATTGGTGCTGCAGCATGCATACATCTTTGGCAGGAAGTTTGATAATTCTCAAGAAAAGTATCTGTGGGGTACACAGATCAGTATCTGTGGGGTACAAAACATCAGTGGGGTACGCTGATGATAGCAAACTGTGTTGTCTTAGAATAAACTTTAATTGACTTTCCACTTAAGCACCTCCAAATACATTGCAATATAATAATTATGTTTTTTAATTGTTACTCCATTGCATTTAGTTGTTTACTCACAGCTTTTTACTATATGCCTGTGAATTTTTCTCAGCACTGTCTTTGTAATGTTAATTTGGAAATATCACAAACATTCTTCTACAATAGACACAGTAGCACCTATGTAGTCTGTTTTCACAGCAATGGTTGATTTTTGTACAAATCCTTTGGAAAAACTGTTTCTGAATGTGAGGAAATGTTATGAAGCATTTCTTGTCAAATCATTAAATAAGATGCATATTTTTTCCAACTCTTACCTCAAGCTGCTCCTGACTATGTTCAGATGTGTACAAGCACAAAGATTTCCCTTTGCTGAAAAAATAATATCAAATGATGTCTTTTGAAGGACATTGCTAATTGATACTGCAATTGGAAGAGATCCATAAACATCACTTACAAATCACTTTCTTAAAGTTCTTTAAAGAAGCTGTGCTATCCAGCAGCTGCCCCTGTATTTTCCATTTTAGAGATGCTCACACCTAAAATATACAGCGTACATCCCCTGAAATCATTTTGTTTGTCTTACTCCAATATATTTCTCTGCAACTGTTTATAATAACATTTCCTTGTAGGATCAACACTTTGTCTCCTGATTAATTTTTTAATGCACTGTGCAATAAACTATGCAGTAGCTGGAGGAAATGACACAACAGTTAATTATAGTAAGAGATTTTGAGTTTGGACTGACTTGAACATTAGGATGAAATATAACTACTTTAAGACAGCTGAATTTCAGCAGTTCTCTTTCAGTCATTACGTTAATGAGTGGCCTTTCCTGGCATATTTGTAAATAGAATAACAGTTACTGTATATATTCCTAGGTATAGCATGAAAGACTTAATAAATTGGATATTACGTATAACATTTCAGTTATAGAAATGCTCACTTCACGTCTGGCTGGCTCTGCATCTTTTTATGACTAATAGAAAACATTTTGTTTCAAAAGACTCAGATTTTTTTTCAGTCTTCCAATCTGCTTCTTTCTCTCAAAGCAATCCCTTAATATTTGAGGAAAGTTCTGGAATAGTATTGAGTAAGGCTCTGAAGACTGATTTAGTTGGGAGAATGGAAAAAAAGGGGGAAAAACATGTCCAAGCAGAAGCATTTTATTGTTATTAAATGGAATTTAAGGGCAGAAATATTTCACAATACCACCTAATACTTTTCTTAGCTATAAAACCATAGACAGGAAATTGTGAACTTATTTTTATCTATTACTTTGCTAATATAATTGAAATTTTGTAAATTTGTTTGCTACATTAATCTCTTGTTTTGCTTCCTCTTTTTAGTATTCTGTATAAACATAAGTTGGATTGTTTGCCTGTGGCTTTTTAGGATTCTTTTTGCCTAATGGAAAAGCTAGAGTAGAATTGTGTTTCTCAAATGCCTTTGCAAATACGCAGAAGTCTCTGTGATGCATTAGCTGAGAATGAGTTTGCCAAAAGAAAATTACAAAATTGGAAGTCTAATAAGCTATAAATGCTAAGTGATAAAAGCAAAAAAGTTGTATTTTAAACTGTAGTTTAAAAAATATTAACAGATTTGTCACTCACTATTAATGTTTCCTTGATCTGTAGGATTACCTGGTACTACTGCTGACCTAGATAAAAGAAGGCTAATTTTTGGGCAAAACCTTATACCTCCAAAGAAGCCAAAAACTTTCATACAGTTAGTCTGGGAAGCATTGCAGGATGTGACTCTCATCATCTTGGAAATCGCAGCCATCATATCTCTTGGGCTCTCATTTTATCATCCACCTGGAGAAGGAAATGAAGGTAAAATTTGTTTTTCCATTGTTTATCTAATAAATATTATTTCCTTGGTTCCATTGTTACATAGGCTTGGGAGCAGCAGCAGATTCTCTGTTTTTAATATCCAATTTTCTGCCTATTTCCTAAAGGCTTAATGTGATATGACTTACTTTAAAATTGTTTCTCAATTTTGTATCTCTTAATTTCATATGGGAAAATTATAGACTTGAACATAATGTGACCACCTCAGAATTGAATATCATTTTAAGAGAGACAATGCCATGATGTGTATTGTGGCTGATAGTGACTTATCAGTTGGTGCAGGAATAAAAGAGAAAAATATCATATGGCTTGGTTTGATTTTTGTCTACCAAATTCTTATTTTTTTCCCCCTGAATCAACTATTGTAGGTATAAAGATGCAACAATAGGTTAAAAGTGCATACACATTATGATGAGTGAAACTTACAGAGCATTGATGCAGAACTGTCATCAATCATCCTGACTGCTAGTATATTCCAACTCACATGCTAAGTAACCATTGATATCGACAGGGATCTTGGATCTATAGCATAGTCCTCCTCTTGCTGCTTTGTTACCAGCAAATAATAGTGGAATAATTCAATTCCTCCTTGGTATTAACTAACTCCTCTACCTAGTTTAACTGAAAACAAAATGCCATAGTCCTTGTATACATCTGAAATGGATTGGCCCAGTGTTTCTAGTATTTCATGCACAGCTACAAATTATAAGAAGGAAAAAAGACCATGTCCTTAATGCAAATCTAGTAGCATTGTTGAATAAAAATGCTTCCCACTTTGGCTTAATAGTAGAATCAGAGTAAGGCAATGCTTGATTCAAAATGTGGGTTTTTCTTTGTTTTTTTAAATAAATCATACTAATAGAAACAACTTACTGGTTCAAGTCAGCCTCGAAAAACAGTTTCTTCAAGGACCAAGTGATAGGATTGCTTTAGTTTGAAATATGCCATCTAAAGCCCTGCTTTATTAATCCTATCTACACCAGATGTGCAGAAAGCAAAGAGGTGTGTTGTAAACATGGAATTGTGTTTCACTGAATTTAATAAACAAATTCAGCCATCAACAGGCACTTAGAGATAAACAACATCTACACACCACTCAAAAAAGACAGTCAAAACGTAAGAGACCACAGTTGTTGGCTAGCAACCAACATTCAGATAAGCAGAGATTAACACCAAGAAGTAAACAATACCCTAATCAAGGAACTACCAACTCAGTAAATCAAGGAACTACCAAGAATATTTCCACCACTACTGATAGGGCAAGTCATTTGTATATAAACAGAGGGAAAACCCCATTTCCTTCTAGCACTGATATGTTACGTAGTTGAATAATGAAATGTCTGCAAGAAAACAACCAACTCCCAAGGACTCCTCAGTAAACAAATTGTTATCCCAGTGTCACAAGGTTCAGACACATTCTTTTTCCTTGGATAATTTTCTAAATTCAGCACAACACACCAGACAATCAGTGGAGGTCAAAGAATATATATTTATTTAGTCCAAAGTTTTCAAGTGCTTATGGGTGGGTGCCCACAAAGAACTGTTCCTTGTCTCCCTTTTTATAAGGTTTTGTAGTTTAGAGATTTAGCCAGTCATTATCAATGAATGGAATGTGTTAATATATTGCAGACAAACATTTCCTTATCTTAGAATGAAAATAGATGCTTCCTTGTTTATAGTTAAGCATATGTTTCTTTATCTAGAGTTAGAACAGATAGGTCACAGGATATGCAAAAGATATATGTCACCTTTTACACGGGATTTACAATGTGATGTCTCTATTTTTTCAATGGAAAAACTGTTTATTACTACTTACAATATACAATCTTTCTTTAAATTTAAACTTATTGTAAACATGAAAGAAAAAGATTCCAACATCAGGAATCTCAAAAATTATAATGATGATAGAGTTTGCAAACAGTCACAAAAATGAAAAATTATCACAATTTTTTTAAAATCGAAAACTTACATGGCTTCCAGCCTTCCTTTGCACATCATAGAATTGTAAAGGTACCATTTAGATGTTGAGTCCAAATCCAATTTAAAGCATCCCGTTTTAGCCTGTCTACTATCTCTTTCAGTAATTGGTTCTGCTATCAAGCTATTCTGACACAACAGTTTCTCTTCCCTAAAAGGATTGGCCCTGTTAAAACACATATTCTTGGTCATCTCTTGAGACTTATTCATTCTTTTTGAATATCCCTTACAAGTCTTTTCTCCAGATACCTGCCTACAGAGTTCAAATTTCAAAAGCAACATCTGTGCATCTCTTTATTTCTACTTTTATATTACTTGGGTACATCTCTGTAAATTCTAATTGGCTATTCTTTAGTGTAATTCTTAAACCATGCCCTGAATCAATAGTTCACAAAACCCAGTAACAAGAGTTTTGTGATATGCCACAAAGCTATGCAACTCCTTCTAATATAAGGACCTCCCTCCAGCATATACGTAACAGAAGAATAAAACCAGTGCCTTGTGTATTTGTATGTGACATCTGGCAACCAATGCATATAACAGAGCCATGGTGCTCTATGATATGGAAAGGATCAGGATCTTTTCAAGTTTCTTTTTACTGCACTTGGTTTGTATTTCATATCCAAAGGTGCAAGGTCTTGATAAATAAAAAAGAATGTGGCATTGTTTCCTGGACAGGTCATCGTGGCCTCTGTTGTGCTTGGCAAGTTCTGTACTTGTTTTAACCATGAAAAGATAACTCAACATTTATGACATTGTTTTTGTAAACCAAGTTTCAGAGGAACATGTACTTATTACAAGGATAACATCACATCTCTACAAATGCATTTTAATTTAATGCTAGTAAATTTGATAAATAAATAAAAAAATGATAAATTGTCAGATATTAATATTTTGGCTACTAAGCCCCTACTGGGACTTTCTAAAACAATAGCGTTAGGAGGTTTAAGAGAATTAAACACATTTGTAAATAAATATCTTCAGTGTTCCTTTTAGATTGATAGACAGCATTGTATATTTTACTGAAAATGTTCTACTAATTGATATATTGTTGTATGTATGATCATGGTTTATAAATATATGCATATATTATTATTATATAAAAACCATTATCGTATATACAAATTTTTTATAGTAGTACAAAATGTATTGTGGAAAGGAAAATTCTATGCAAAGCTATATCAGTAGGCAATCATGTATTAAAATCGGTATATTAAGATAATCCCATGTCAAGTTATTTATTGAAGGACCAAGAAGAAAAACGCAAGAGTAGAGAAATAAGCAAAACTAAAATAAATACAGCACAATACTTGCTAGATTCATTTAAAACTCAATTTCAGTGTCAGATTTTGATTAAATATTTTGGAAATTTTTTTAAATACTGGAAAATTTTAGGTTTCCCCCACTGACATGAATGCTTCAGCTGATGATTGAGAAAATATTTTCTTCAGGATCTGCTTCCTTTTCCACATCATATATAATAATGGGCATGATGACTAGATTTATATTTTATTACTTTTTGCCATTATTAAAATGTTAGCAGTTACTGTTAAGTTAGGGAAGTTTTATTATTGAAATGACAGGAAAAAAGACAAGTCATTTGTTAACAGCAACAGTCCGGTATACTGCAGGACCCTGGATTTGCAAATGTACTGGTCTCCTATTTTTTAAGTCTCAAATTATGAAGTAAGAAAGCTTTGAATACATGTTACGAAAATGTTTTGGTTGGGTTCCATCAACCTGAACATCTTTACTCTCATGATAGAGCATGATGTCTGTTTCCTATGAGAAAATATTTTACAAGTGTGACAGTTCACGTTCTGGGAAATGTGGAAAAATAACATTTAGTATTAGAACTTTAGTGCCTTCTCCACACTCATTAATAACTTATTCCATTCAAAATATTTTAAAGCATTTCCTCATGAATATTTGGATAGATTTTGACAGCATATTTTCAGAATGCTTATATTGGGAAACATACATGGTACTAAAAATGTTTGCATAGTTTTCCATTGAAATTTGGGCATTTTAGGAATAATATTTCCACTTCGCCTATTCCAAATTGAAATTAGCAAAAAATGGCTAAAAGTGGGGAAAAATAAATAAAGTAGTTTTGCTTAGTAAACTAACATATTTACTGAGAAGTAACTTCTGTTGCATTCAGTTGGGCTGAACAGATCCAAGATTGAAGGCTAAATATGTTGTGCTTAATCTGAAAGAACTGTGTTTGCAAATATAATAATGCAATCTTCTCCATCTCTGCACAGAAATAAGTCCTACTTTATTAAATGAATAACCTATGGGGAATAAACCACTTACATAGGAATAAATGAATTTGATTGGGTTTCCTTCTTAGTAGATGTTTATGGAATTGCATTGTAAACAACCTATAGGTTCAATTTTTTAAAAGTTTTAATACAATAGTTTTGCAGATATAGCTAGCTAAAAGTGTAATATCTACCCATTACACTTTTTGAAGTGTAATGGGTAGATAAGAGATAACTTATTTATACTGTACCCATTTAGCAGCCAATAAAGAGCCTTTGAATAGTACTCTGTACACATGGATATTTTAGTTAGAAATTTAGTGTTATTTAGTGAAAATGTTCAGAAGTCCTCTAGGCTGAGAGATGTTATTTGCTTGTTAACATCAATTTAATTTACAACATAATGCATTGCAAATAAAATATTAGTCCATGTATTTTTCAGTTCCCACATTGATGCCTCAATTAATGTCAATACAATTTTGAAAAAAGAACTGCAGTAGTTATTTTAGTAGATAATATGAACCCTCTCACCCATTTGCAGATGGCCCAGTAAGCCTTAGTCATTATATGCAAGACCCAGGTGTTTCCTTGTTCTGCTGAAATCTTCATATGCCTGTTAAATGGTGTTCCTGTAGGTATTAATGCAAATACTTGTGGGCCAAACATAAATGTAATCTCCTGCAACAAAAGCATAAATATAACTTTTGGGGTGGGGTGGAAATCACATCACGTATCTTT